CCTAATTCTTGGTTTTGAATTTAAATTTCTATTGCTTCGTTTGTCGGTAGCCTGAAGGCTAAACTTTCGTTTAGCTGAAATCAGTTATGCAGAAACTGTTTCCATGGCAACAATTGTGATGGCAATGAGTAAACAAAAACCCAAATCCCGTGGTGAGGAAATGCATAGTTGCCAAGTTATAGATGAATTTGATATTTTTTTAACTTTACTAAAATCAATTTTGGAGAAACTGTTGCCATATTAACAAATAAACAAAAACTTAAACCCGTGGTGAGGAAATGCGTAGTTGCCAAGTCATTAAAGATTTAATTTATTTTTAGAAATTAGTTATGGTGAAAACGTTGCCGTAGGGACCCTTGTCATAGTAAAAACTAAAAAAAAAAACCCGAATCCTGTGGTGAGGCAATTCGTAGTTGCCAAGTTATAGATGATTTAATTTTCACTTTACTTTAGCTGAAATTAGTTATGTAGAAACCGTTGCTATGGGAATTTTTGCGATAGTAACGACTAAGCAAAAATTCAAACTCCGTGATGAGGAAATGCGTATTTGTCACGTAATTTATGATTTAATTTTCACTTTAGTTTAGCTGAAATCAGTTATGGAAAAAATGTAACCATGGGAACGCTTGCCATGGTAACGACTAATAAACCCAAATCCCGTGGTAACATCGTGAGGAACTGCATAGTTATTAAATTATAGATGATTTTATTATTACTTTAGTTTAGCTGAAATAAATTATGTAGAAACTGTTGCCATGAGAACGCTTGTCATGGTGACGACAAAAACCCAAATTCTGTGGCAAGGAAATGCGTAGCTACCAAGTTATTGAGAATTTTATTTAACTTTAGTTTAGCTAAAATCAGTTATGGGGAAACTGTTGTCATAGGAATGCTTGTCATAGTAACGACCAAACAAAAATAGGTGCCCGATCAACGTTTTGAAATCCGCGGGCGCTAATTTGGAAACGTTGATCATGTGTTCGCTTCGCTCGCACTATATTTGTGAAAATATTAGGTTACTGATATTTATTTTTATTTTTATTCTTAATTTTTTATTAATAGGCACTAGATCGAAAGTTTCTAAATTTTCGAGTTTTTATATTTATTTTAGGTCAATGAATCCAAGTTCGGTAAAAGAAAATATAATCTAGGATGCATTGTAAAAGGTCACTGGGTTTTGGGACTGACTAATTTCTCAATGCTCAAATGACTTGAGATTGATCGTATCTATGCTATGTCCTAATAATAAAAGCTACATACTGGCTAGCATAAGAAAGTTAGATTGAATAATCTATAACTTGGCAACAATGCATTTTTTGTAATGAACTTTGAGTTTTTGATTAGTTGTTAGCATGTCAAGTGTTCCTATGTCATCAATTTCTCTTTAACTGATTTCGGCCAAATTTAACTTAAATTTACTATAACGTGGCAACTACGTATTTCTTTACAAAGAGATTTGAGTTTTTGTTTGGTGGTTACTATGGTAACTGACCTTATGTCAATAATTTCTAATTTCTAATAATTTCTCAGCTAAACTAAAGTGAAATTAAATCATCTATAACTTGGCAACTACACATTTCCTCACCACGGGATTTGGGCTTTTTTACTCGTTACCATGATAAGTATAACCATGGCAACAGTTTCACCATAACTAATGTCAGCTAAACTAAAATGAAATTAAATCGTTAAATCGTACGCATTTAATAATCACGAGATTTGGGCTTTTGTTAACTAATTACCATAAGTATCCCTATGGCAATAGTTTCTCCGTAACTGATTTCAGCTAAACTAAAGTTAAATTAAATCATCAATAACTTGGCAACCACGCATTTTCTCACCACGGAATTTGGGTTTTTGTTGACTAGTTATCATGATAAGTATCCCTATTGCAACAGTTTTTCCGTAACTGATTTCAGCTAAATTAAATAATTTGTAATCTCGCAGCTACGCATTTTCTCACCACGGGATTTAGGTTTTTGTTTTTTCGTTACCATGACAAGTGTCTATATGGCAACAGTTTCTTCGTAACTGATTTCTATCAAACTGAAAATGAAGAAAACAAGTATAAATTACATTCTAAAATATTACAAGAAGTTTTTTGGGAATAAATTTTAAATCCACGTTGGACTCTAACCTTTAACTTCATTAGGGAAGTTTTCATACACTTTTTCGGTAATACCGTTGCCTAATTACCTATTCTGTGTAGGGTAATGTTGTATAAGAGTACGCACTTAGTGAACATTCTAAAATAATTTTTCAGTTTTAGGCGAAGTGTAAATTTTTAAAATTTTATAATATAAAGTAGTCACAGCCAAACATGTTTTAAACATGTTATGCTATACATTGTAAGAAAAAAAGGAGATATTCAAATTTTTTGGAAAGTCTTCAGATGCGTGCTCTTATGCACAAACATTTATAAAAGTACGCATGCTAATGTATAAGAGTACGCACTATATCTTTCTCTAAAATATGGTTGCACGTCATGTTATATTTGATTGTTTACTAATAAAATAAAAAGATTTTATATAAAAAACGTAAGTTTATTGAAAGTAATATAAAATTAAAAAATATTCCTTAAAGGAAAATGAAAAACGTAGTATCTGCTTAAAGTCGTTACTCTGAACAATTAAAACAAACAAAGTCCCCCATTACATATGTGGTGCAAGATTCATGCCACCAACTGTTACACCAAGAACACATAATCCATTCATCATCTTCAAAAGATTCTGAGAACAATTCTTCACATCCTGGGCAACGTTCATCCTTTTCGGCACCTTTATTAATTTTCTTTTTTAAGTTTTTTGTTTTCTGGGATTTTGAGCCAGTAACAACTAGTTTTCTCTTTGATGTTTCAATTTTTTTTTTCTTTTTCCTTTCTTAATACCGGCAAGTTCTTTAAATTCATCCTTAAATGGAGTACTAGAGAGTTTTTCGGATTTTTGTGATCTTGATTTAGAGCAATTTGGTTTTTCTTTTATTTGCGGCAAAGGTAACATTTCTGAACCTGGGATCGACCGATTTAAAACCTCTTCCTCAAAAATAGACGAATTCTTTGATATAAGTACCCCGTCTTCACAGACTATATCAAGGCTGGCAATATCCAGCGGTGGAGGTGTTGCATGTATCGGAATACTCGTGGAGGGTTCGGTATCATCTATTTCCACCACGACTTTATCATTGAGCTGGCCATTCTCTGTATAATGTGGTGCGTCTGTCGTATTAATGGGTGCGTCTGGCGTAGTGATGAGTGCGTCTGTCACACAGGAAAGGGCAAAATCATCATCGTTAAACTATACGGATTATAGGGATATATTCCGGAAGCTCTGAATGAGTTTTATGATTTTACAATATTGGCGACGCTGGTGTAAGCTTGGTTAAATAGTCCGGAAACTTGCATCTGCGTTATTACCTTTCCAGGGTTACTTACCATCCACTTATCACACTCTCTACTGTAAGCACACTTTAATGGGCCAAAGAAACCAACATCCAGCGGTTGCATCATGTGGCTTGCATGAGGTGGTAGGTAGAGTAAATCAATATGGTTATCCCTGCAGAAGTTTATTGCATCTAGATCACGGTGAGAGGAATGGTTGTCGAGGATCAACAGTACTTGATTTTCGGCACTAGGTTTGCTGTAGCTCTTGAAATGCCGCAACCACTGATAAAATAATTCTTTGTTTATAAACCCAGAGTCCCATATCATTTTACAGGTACAGGTGCATTTAAAAAGAGCTCATCTTTTATCCTTTTTCTGGGAAATATCATAGCCGGAAGAATATATGTCCCCGTAACGCTAAAACAACATACCGCTGTAACGAGCTGTCCCCGATCTGCACTATCTACTTTTCCGACTAGTTTTTTGCCTTTGCTGGATAAAACCTTGGGTTATTTATTAAGTACTGTGGATACCCCTGTTTCGTCCATGTTGTATATTGAATTTGGTAAGTAGTTTCTTTTTTCATAAAGGGTCTTAAGATTTTTAAAAAACCGATCTACCTGGCTTTTATTGAAACCCATTATTCGATTCATTGAACATTTTTTTGGTTGCCGAAGTACTATTTTGTGTCTTTGACAAAACACTTTTACCCACGACTCACCTGCCATTTTTTTAATATTGCTGAACCTGTGCTGAAGTTTGTTAGCTTCGGCAAACTTATAAGTCGCTATTTTCAAATCTTTCTTGGTAATCCCATAAAATCTAAGATCCAGGTCCCTTACTTGTTGGGCTAAATCAGCCTCCATATCTAAAGGTATATCAATTTTGAATCGTCCTAAGGAGCTGGAGATGGTTCCTACTTTTAACCGTTTTCTTAGTGTTGTTTCATTTATTCTTATTTCCCTGGCTATACTTCTTTTACTAAAACCATCTGCAATTTTTTGCTAAATTTTAGCCACACAAACAATAACAATATTTAAAAAAAAAACATACAATAACGTTTATTAACCTGTAACGTTCGCAGGTACCTCACAAAATACTAATTATCAAGCACCAACAATTAGATCGCCAACCCATGCAAACACTTCTCGGCCATTTTTAAAACAGGTGTGTCGATAATATAGATTTCTATTTTTGTATCCAGTGTCGTATGCTATTTGGAACATAACTGACTGCATAGACAATTTAATAGATGGCGATATGTATTAAAAATAAACGTGCGTACATATAAACATTACCCTACATATTTTAATATTTTTTTATTAAATATACTGACTTTTCTTTAGCTGAAGTAATAAAAATATATAACAATAATAAATGAATCTTTTCACTAGTTTTATAAATAAATATACTTTTATTAAAACCAAAAAATACATTTTTTTAATTACGAATTCTATTAAAAATGATACACGCAAAATCCCCCTTTAGTACATATTTCATTTCGCGCAACACCGTCACGCACCGAGCGAATATGTAAATCAGTTTGTTAACCATATTTCTCTTAATGTAATAATGCTAATTATTACAATACTAGATTGATTTAAATAAGATATTTTTGTTTCAGATAATGCAATGGCCCCCCAATCATTAATTCCCACTAATCATTAGCAGAAAATCACCGAATATAGCGCGGATATGTCTTGTCCTTTCGGACGGTCACCCAATCCAGTTCAAAATGGAGCGACACCGGCTCTCAAACGAAGTTTTACTACGAAACAAAGCTCAGTCCAAATCACAGACGACGACGAAGAAGACAGAAATACTCTGAATCTCAAGCATTTAAATGAAGCCATATTGATTTTGACCTCGCCAACGGTAAGTTCGTAGATTAGAGAAGTGTTAATGGGAAAGAAATTCATTGATAAAATTCTGAGACGATGTGCTGCCATCTATCAAATCAGAGTGGTACTAAATTCAATACGCTTTTTAAAATATAAAGAAGAAAATCGAACAAAAAATTAATTGCTTTATTTTGACTATTTTCAATATTTGCCGATTTATATTTTTAGTTAATTTTCTTTTTTTATATTTTGGCATTAATTTCAACTTTTAAATTTGTATTACAGTAAATTAATGCCGCAATATGTGATTTTCGTTTACACCATTTAAATATTTAAATAGTATTAACGAAACAAACCTATCAAATAGTATTACATAACAAGTGTAAAAAGCGATATATAATGCACGAGTGAAGTTTAGCACGAGCCGCGTAGCGACGAGTGCGGAAACGTAACGAGTGCAAGGAGTACACTTTACAACGAGTTATATACACTAGTTTTCCTACGACCCCAACATTTTAAATTTTCATAAATTTTTAATTTTATTAAATAATGATTATTGCATAAATCTTATAAAATAATCATTAGACATGTATAATTTTAGGGTTTAAAATGAAGTTTCAGAATTTTAAATAAATATTTTTTTATTGAACTTTTATTGAAAATAAACAGTTAACTAGTTAACAAATGCACACTAGTCGATATTAACAATTTAATTATATTACTATAAAATATATTTCTAACCTTAAAACTAAAAAAATAAACATTTTTTTTTTAATTTTTGTCATGTGATCCATAAAAATTAAATGTAAAATGATTATTGGAACAGTTGTAAAAATTTATTGGTGTTTGAGAAACATTATGTGATAATAAAGTATTTTGTATATTTTTTTAACGTTTAAGTCGTTCAATTCTGTACTATTTTCTATATTATTCGAGTGTTGCCTTTAACACCAAATTTTTTTCTGTTGCTGTTGAAGTTGAAGGACCTGTTATTGCCCCAACTATTTTCTCTGATATTTTTATTCGTTTTGCTATTGATTGTTCGATGTAACCTTTTGCAAAATTTGAAGACTTTCAGCTTCCATGCCGCTTCAAAGAGGTGACGTCTTCACCGGAGTCGACTAGTATTGTTGTAAATGACCGTTTGAAACAATGCCCAGTTTACAAATTTGGGTTTTTTAATTTTAAAAATTTCGCTACTTCTCGTGATACACTGCCAATTTTATTTTATTTATTCCGACTACTTGTCTGGTGCATCTTGTTTTTTGATAATTTATAAAAAACTGTTTTTCATTCATTTTTGTCCTTAAATTAAAGTATTTTTTAAATATCCCATAAAAATTGCCAGTAATTCTAAATTTTCTAGTTGCTTTGTTTTGGGTAAGTTGTTTTAGTTCCTGTTTACGGCACGCACCTGATATTCCTATAACTAGTACTACCTAAAATATAGATTGAAAAGATAGCATAAAATATAGGAAAAATTACTAACTAACTGGACTTTGGCCAGTGCTTCAACTATAAATTTATTAATTTCTTGAGGAGTGAGTACTTTTGCTTTTCTTGGCATACAACTATCATTTGTTTGTTTAAGATAGTGTGACAGGCTTCTGGTTCATCTACAGTGAATCAGGGAGTCTGTGTGGTGATTCCTAAATAGGGGTTGCTCAGGCCCCAGTTTTGGTATCACAGTTTGCTCTGCGACCCTGTAGTACACCAGAGTGTACTCAAGGTAAACTTAGTGGAGTTAAAAATATTTCCAGGCGGTCACTGCTAACTAGGTAGCCACTTAACTAGAATAAATAAAAATAAAACGCAGGAATAGATAATAAAATATATATTTACAGAAAAAAAAAATACATCGGTGGTAGTGCACGGTTTTGGCACGGCTGTAAACGGAAAATTAAATAAAATGAACAATCACAATTGAACGCGATTACAGGAAAGTAATTACGGTTCCCCATATACCGAAAAATGGTTAAAACAAATTATTACAATTGAAAACTTAGTTAAATATTCATGACTCCCTGTATACGGAAAATTGATTAAAAAAAACAAATTATTACAATTGAAAACTAGTTAAATATTCATGGCTCCCTGTATATGGAAAATTGATTAAAAGAAACAAATTATTACAATTGAAAACTAGTTAAATATTCACGGCTCCCTGTATATGGAAAATTGATTAAAAAAAACAAATTATTACAATTGAAGACAAATTAAATATTTATTACAATTGAAAAAAGATAAAAAATATAGGGAAATAATTGTGGTTCAATTGCACAGGAGGCTAATCAGTCCGGAAATTCTGAAACTCCCTGTATACGGAAAATAAATTTTAAAAATAAATTAATTAAATATGTCGGTAATAAAATGTAAGAAAATAAATGAAATCAAAGTTTTCGGAACCCCCTGTATCTTAGTTCCGACCGCTCGACGCTGGCAATTTCGTCAAACGAGAATTATAATATCTAGCACGGCGTTTGGACGAAATATGCGATGTCTAGAGTAATAATTATTTTGAGATTTCCCAAAGCAGATCAAAACGGTATGTGAATTAGTTACAATAGAAAACGTCGGGCTTCGTTCAATAATTAATTCAATAATGGTGATGGAAAACGGAATGATTCAAATATAATTGAAAGAATAAATCAAGAAAAAGAAACTTACATGAAGTGAGGCGCGAAAATTAATTTAGACGTCTTTTTGCAAAAATTAGATAACGCCGTCGAGACAGAGCACACTCATAGCTCGAGGACCGATCTAACCTCCGAAAAAGAAAATAGTGGGCCGGTTTCCCCAAAGGTAATAATAAAAAAAATGAAAACGGGTTGAACCTCTCACTTCAATGTTAACTGGATGCTTCTTAAAAGAGATTGGATAGAGTCGTCGAAATTGAATGCACTCACAGTCTAGCCTATATCCAGCCTCAAATAAAAAATTGCCTATGGTTTCCCACTAAGCTCCCTGGCAACTCTGCAGCTTCTTGTTTCATCCCATCTTTCCATGAATCCCACAAGGGAATGTTCTTTAATTAAATCTGTCACTACCGAATTTATCAGACCAGTGAATCAGCAAGACGGTTAACTTTCGATGTGGCGTGACCTTTGATCCATCTTAAGGTGACCACATTGTTGATGGATATTTCGGCCAAAGCTGCGTGACATTCTAGTACTAACCCTGAGTAAATTCGTGGTCTATTCAGGGTGAGTAGTGCTTGTCTGCTATCTGCATAGATGAGCATGTTCCTTCCAATAATATTGTTTTTGGTTATTTCTTTTGCTGCTATGATAATCCCCGTGAGCTTTATTTGAACTACACTGGCAATATTGCTCGCAGCCCATTTTATGTTTAGGTTAAAATATCTGGAATATATTCCACATTGTTTTGTTTTAGAACTATCGGTGTAGATATGAATCGTATCTGCCACTTTCGGTTCATCTATTTGTTCTAACTTTATATGCCTTATGGAAGATATATATCGGTGCGTATCGAGCGTTGCCTGCCAAAAGCGACGTCTCGCCTCACCAGGTTCTTTTCCAAGCGTGCGTAGGCGTGTCATTATCGTCAGAGCAACCTCCTTGATGTAAATATCAAGGGAAGAATGACTTCCATGGTTCTGGTTGGTGTTGTTTTCAACATAACAGCGAGACATGCTAGTACTAATTATTTGCCTCAATTTATCCCCCATAAGTTGTAGCCAGAGATGTTGTAGCACTCTTTTTTTTGTATTTTGTGTTTAACTGTTATTCTTTCTAAAATAAATCTTGAATCGCCCAGGCAGCACACTTTGGTATACATTACGTATTTTTTTAGGTACTACCATACGTATGAATACGGTTGATGTACTACCAAATATATTCGTGAAAATGTCCGCCTTATAAACGTCGATTACTAAGAATTTATCCACCTATAATTAAACGTTTTTACTATACGTCTATATTAGATTTATAGTTGTAGTATATTTATACGAATTCACTTTGGTATAAAATACGTTTTTTTATATACTACAATATACGTATGGATACTGTTGATATGCTACCCAATATATACGTGAAAATGTCCGCCCTATAAACGTATATTTTTTTTATTTTTTATACGTCTAACATTACTACTTTATCTACCTTTAATTATCCTGTTTTACTATACGTCTATATTAGATATATTTGTATGATTTTTATTAATGTGTAAAATGCGTCTACCTGATATTGTTTTAAATGTATTTCAAACACAAATTAAATAAAGTGATCAAAACAAAATTTCTAAAAGAGGCCATGGAAAAATGTTAATATATCTTAAATGATAGTTTGGATTTTATCCATAGCAGGTGTGTATACACCAGAAATAGGCATTACTCGTGTTTCTATTTTGGTTGTAATTGGTCTAAATATTTAGAAAAATTTTTTGATCACTTGTTATAAGTACAGAACAATATTTAATTAAAAAAATAAATAAACAATAAAATACTAAAAAATAAATAAATACAAAAAAATAAACACTAAAATACTGAATAACAAACTAAACGAAACTTTTCTTTAACTAACAAAAAATATATATGAAAATAGAAATCTTAATGTCCGAAGCCTTATTAATGTTATCTTCATTGGGAATAAAAAAAAATTGATTTGACTTTAAAGCATCTTGAACATTTTGCGCTATTTTTCTACGTAGATGACGCAGAGACAGGGTTATTTTAGACATTTTATTAAATAAAAAACAACTGACCAAAAAAAAGGAAAATAAGTATGCTTGGAATAACTAGGTATCCTAAAAAATACGTATAAAAATAAAAGAAACAAAAGTAAGGTTATGTTTTGAAGTTTCTATAAGCATTTAACACACTGTACGTACCTATAAAACAGTAGTTGTAAAATGCAATAATTATTAAAGGAGTAGCTAAATTAAAACATTAATAGAAACTTACCTATGCTTTTAATCAATATTGTAAAAGCCAGGACGCCAAAGAAACATGCAACAAAACGTGTACACAAAATGAACGAACCGATGAACCTGCTCCCACAAACCATTCCTTACACTGAACAATAATACTACAGTCGTAAGAGTAGAAATGAGAAATGACCGTACCACTAGTACGTCATTATCCATCCGCCATCTAAAAATAGTTCCATGTGTATGGGGAATTTGTTATAAATATTACAGGTATAATTTAAAAAATATGGATGTAATGTAAATAAATATATCTATAAGCTTTTAATTTAAATAAACCTAAATATATACATATTATTTACTTCTGTCTACTAGTTCATCGTAAACTGGTATTATGCGTTTAAGGTGACTTATATTTAAACGTAGAATAATATAGGTATATTAACTAGTATCGACAAACAGAAGCGTTTAATTTATTTGTTAAAAAACGTTAAGTATAAAAATGGTAGATGATAAACGTTTAAAAAATCAACCAAGACGAAATTTAATCGGGAATTATAAACGAAGAAAACAAATTGTAATATAATGTAAATTTATACAAATTTAATTTAAATAAACCTAAACGTATATTTAGGCCCACTGTATATAAATAGTTAATCGCAAACTAAAAATAGTCGTATATTGTTAACTATATTTAAACGTAGAAAAATTTACAATTATATACAATAGGATGTATATAAAAAACGTATAATATATCGTTTAAAACACGGTATGTATAATAATGGTAAACTGTAAACGTATACGGAATCAACCAATACCAAAATTAAACGAGTATTACGTATAAAATACGTTAGTTATACTAATGTGTGCTGCCTGGGTGTGTTCAAAAATAAGAAATATTTGAAAATGCAAACATTAATGCCAGTTTGGAGTTTATAAAGAAGCCTCTGTAGTTATTACGCCCTAATAAACTTTTTTTATAAAATAAAATAAGAATAAAAAACAGTTGGCATTCTTCTAATAAATTTTAACTACCTACCCAATGAATAAATCTCAAAATTGTGGAACTTAAATTATTATACGGTAATTAAACTAAAATATATTTCCAAGAAACTTCCAAGAAAAATTTGTTACGGAAGTAAAGTTATATAAATATTCGTCTTGTTATAAAGCTAAAGTCGTGCTAGACACTTTAATGTCCCAGTCCCGAACGGATTGAATTGACTTTGAAACTTGTAAACTTTGAAGTAGATGCTTATAATAGCTAAAAACAAGTAAAAAGTAATTTACGATAATTTGAAACTTCGCCCGCTTTTCAAACGTCATTGAAAGGATGGAAATCGAAACGACGGAAATAAAAAGATTAATAATTTCAACTCATCCAACAAATGCTGTATTAATTAGTCCTTTAATTAATTATGGAAATTAATCTCTTTACGAAAATATTGTTATTTGAATATTAATATAGAAATATTTACTTCAAACGAGAGTAGACCTTTTGTAACTTCCATAAATCAACTTTGTTGCTTCGCTTTATCTTTGAAAGTTGAATGGTTGGTGGGCATATTAGGTTTTACATCAAAACAATTATTAATCCAGAGTATATTTCAAGTTCTTTGTTTCCCACAATTTTCTTTGGGCTAAAAGAATGTTTTTAAAATTTCGAATTAACCGCCATCAAAATAGCTCGACTGTTTACTAAAATATGCGAATGTAACTTCCTTAAAGCTCCTAACGCTTGATCTAGATAATTTTATATAAATATGAAATTCCATTTTATGGCACCATCGCACAATTTATGATATTATATTATGGACTGGATAGATATTAACTCTAATAAAATCATGTTCAATTTATGAGCGCGATGAAGCTAGAATGCAGTGAGGAATAATGATTTAAGATATTGATAATAAGACGAATTATACAGTGTTAATCCTCTCGGATATTAACTCGCGTACGTTAAAATTTTAGAGAAATTCGTCTAGTAGGTTTTTTTATACACGAAACAAAAATGTATTAACCGTTAGCGAACTTTTACTTACCGCAACTAAAAAGTTGTATACTATATGGGACAAGTAAAAATGTTTACTTATTGTAAGTGAAACAATATTTCTGAAATTAGTCACCTGTGGTTAGTGAATAGTTTAATTAGTTTTTAGACGATTCATAGTTAGTGAACTATTTACTTGTGGTTAGTGATCTAAGTTGTATTATTAGTAGATAACTATTAACAAATAAAACTTCGGGAGCAACCATTTAGCGTTTTATTTCGTCCATTCCAGGTTAACTGTCAATGTCCGGTATTGCCATCCTAATCCATATTTTAGAGATGACTGATACATCTTCTCCTTTTAATACTTATTTTAATTTTAAACATAATCCTTTAAGTAGGAAGGCTTTTGAACTTCCCTTACTGGCCATTTCCATGTAGATATGGTATCAGACACCTTAACATTTTTATAATTGACATTTCCAAAATGTTTCACTACATTTCCTGGGGTATTGCCCTCCCTCTCATTATTTTCCTTAATTTAATCACTATCACCTATTGTCTCTTTTACAACCCCTGCTTCTCTACATACTTTGTTTTCCCAACATTAGTTATGTTATTACTATATTCAAACGTATCTATATTAGGTGAGAAAGTTTGAGGAAACGAACCTGTAGAAGTCTGATGAACATCCATAAATGGTGCTGGCACCAAAAACCGCCTATTTCTGCGGAATAAACCTCTTGCTGTTTGTATTAGGTAAGATCTTGGTTCACTTAATTTTTCAGTTACCCAAACTGACTCACCTACCTTTAGCTCAGACAAATCTTTTGCTAAATGTCTCTTATCATTATTGATTTTCTGATTTCTTTCCTCCTTTGCTCAATCTCAATTGAAACACCAGGGTCAACTATTTCATTCAGTTTGCTTGGTAATAATGGTAAACTTCTCAATTTCCTGGCCATCAGCAATTCTGCTGGACTAAATCCATTGACCAATGGAGTTGATCTGTAAGCCAAAAGGGCTGTATATACAGGGTGTTTCAAAAAGGTATGTCATAAATTCTTCTACAGATAGATTACCAAAAATTAAGTGGATTTGGCTATATTTACCTATATCAAAAACTGGCTCCTAACAAAGTTACAGGGCGTTAAACTAACATTCAAAAAACGTTTTTTTTTTGTAAAAAGTTTGCTGTTGCGAATTTTTCTTTAAAATTTTTGCCAGTGCTGTAGATTTGAAGGCCTAATATTCAAAGCGACCCCTTTAAAAAAAGTTGGGGTTGGGGGATTGGGTACCTTTTAACCCCCCGCCATTGCATTAGTTCCTTTTTACAAGTAGGTTCTGGGAACTTTTCGATTGCTTCAACTCGAGATGAGTCTATTCCTACCCCTTGTTCTGAAATATCATGTCCCAAAAACTTAACCTTGTGAACCGCGAACAAACATTTACTTTTATTTAATGTAATGCCCTCCGTTTGAAGTCTAGTCAGAACTTCTTTCAGAATATTGTCATGCTGTTCCATACTGCCTGCGTGTACTAAAATGTCATCAATGTGAACTACTACTCCCTTCATACCTAAAAATATTTTTAAAAATTTGGAGCTAAAGTATTCTGGGGCAAATGATATCCCAAATGGCAACCGAGTGATCATTAATCTCCCAGTTTTGAAAAACTGCAGGATCCGTTTTACTGTGCTAAAGTTAATTCTACTTTTGGTATTGGTAAATGTGACCTCTTTACGCTTTTATTTAAATTAGTATAGTCCCCACATTTCTAACCTCATTATTACTTTTGCGTACCACTACTATAGGTGCCATCCATTCTGTAGGCTCCTCTATGCATTTAATAATTTTACTTTCTAATAGCCTATCTAATTCTACTTTTAATGAGCCTAGCAACGGTAGTGGGACTATCCTAGGTGCTGCATTTGGAATTAATTTAATTTATATTTCCTCTTTAAATAATTCTAAATTCTCAAAAAGCTTAGGAAATTCTTTAAAAACTTTTAACTGACTTTGTGCTGACTTAACCAGATGTACCTTTTCAAAATCCTTGCTCAATAATTCCTGGCTTACCTAAAATAGTGGTTTTTAGCCCTTTTAATACATACATTTCAATCACGAAGGTTTTCTCAAGGTATGACATCCTTACTTTAATTTTACTAATTGTATATACCATCAGGATCCGATATAATTTCAGTGCTGGGTTCTATTTCATTTTGCATTGATCTTGGTAACAATTTGTCAGGTATACAAATGACATCGGCTCCTGAATCGATCAAAAATTGTACAGGCTTATCAAATCTTTCTACCTCACAATTACACTTCCTTCTTCCTTCCTTAATCATAGAATGTACCTTAATCTGCCCTAAAAAATACTCAGTATCTTCTTTTCCAAAATCTTTTTCCTGTTCTATATGTCTAACTGATTTTGAACTTTTGCACACCTTTCTCCAATGTCCTATTTTCTCACATCCTGAATATTTTGACTTCGATGCTGGACATTTGTCTCTTTCGTGAGACTCTTTTCCACAAAAAAAAGCATATTTTAGATGACATGCCATTTTTGGTATTACTTCCATTCTTCTAACTAGTTAAAGATTTTGCCATAACCTGGATTTCTTGTTTCCTGATCCCGGCTCCTTGTCTTACAAATGCACTCTGCTGTTCTTGTAATTTAGCTTGTCTTGCTCCAATAACCGCTTCTGCCAAAGTTAAGTTGGGTTACAGTTATAACCGCTCGCTAGTTTCGAGTCTAACAAGTTTTCAAGTGTCTCTAAAGTGCCAGACAACTGTCCCAAAACTTTTTCACTCTCTTCTCGTATAACATATAACATCATGTTCACTTTTTGTTTTCGCTTTTGTTTTGTAAGCTGGATATCAATGAGATACCTTCATTAACGGAACTTGATACACGTGAGAAGGTCCAGCCCCTTCGCTAGTATTCGTTAATCTTATGTTTGTTTCCTCTTTGATATTTCTAGTCAATATTTTGTTGCTATTAATTTCTTTTTACTTGGAAAGTATTTTTATTTTTCTGAGTACACAACGACGATAATTGAACCATAACCATTCTATGGTCAGAAAATTGATAATCGACAACACAGCAAGTGCTTTCCTCGTCCGAACTAACAAAAATTTGGTCAGTAATGGTACAGGTAGTATCTGTCACTCGAGTAGGCCATTTTACAAAAGGTACAAGATTGAATCTAGACTTATATAATAAGTTAAAATTTTGTATAAAAACATTAACATTTCTACTAGGAGATCTATAGCACAATATAATTATAAAAACACGATCACGACTTTTAAAAGAAACCCTTCAAAATGTTTTTCGATACAGTCACAATTTAGCTACTTCACTTAAAGACTAGCTGTATCCCAAGGGGTGGAACGATAAGGGTCTAAATAGGGTAAGCACTAGATTACTTTAAACTTGATTTCATAGCCCTTCACGGTATAAGGACCCAAGGAACTAAGGGCCTAACGCACCTCTATAAGAGACTAAACACAATGTTTTCCCAAAACAAATGATATATTTTTATGCAAAACAGTTATATAAAACGCGTCACAACTCGAAATACACAAATATGGGGTTCAATATAATATTATATAAAATATCAACTTACCAACACCAACAAATATCTGAGGAACATGTCACCCTTGGGCAATTATTCAAAACCGCAATTCAAAATACAAAAAGGACTTTTAACTTTCTCACAAAAAAGATCCAGAGCCTCCGATCGAAGTCTCAGTGATCTGGAGGTGCCAATGGGAATCTCCTACAAGGGGCCCTCCTATGGGGAGAATCCTGCCCTGTGGAAAAAAGCCCTATGCGTCTCCTCCAGATTACCTTTATAACTTCTGCATAGTTTATTGTTGTGAAACTAAAGTTTAATAATTATTAAATAATCAACCTTGATGATTGCAACTTAAATCAAATTGTCCAGATAATTAAACAAAGTTTTATGTACAGATTGTTACATAAATAATAAATAATTAGGAAAAATATGAATTTATACGAAGTGTGACAATATGACGAAGCCAAGGTGTAGCCCCTTAGACAAAAGAGATTCCAAAAAATATGTTTCAACTCCAGTTTCGACTAAACAAATAATTGGGATCGAAAATTGATATTAATCCTATTTTCGTTTAAAGTTGCTTTATTGAGTAAGAGCAAGTTTCGTTCAAACATTAAGGTGCATTCTGATCCGAATTCTGCGCCTCTCAAAAAAACGAGGCCATAATTCAGGATTCGTAGCATTTTTAAAATTACTTTTCAATATTGTAACTTTAAATGAAGTAAGTAAGTAAATGAGTAAATTTCAGGACGTAGCGAATTTAATTTTTCACATTTAACTTCCGGAAATTTTTTAACGAGAATAGATTCCAGATCATTAGTGGTAGTGTCGGTATTAATTCTGTAAACATGTAGATTTATATGATTAGGTACGCCTTTCACAATTTCGGTAATATTATTTCCTAAAACAATATTACGTTTTCTTCCTCGTTTAACGACGTTCCAATCACTTGCATCCCTGCATTTTTCAACGTCCTCAGATGTGTCCATTTTAGCAATTCTAGCAGTATATTTTAGTGAGGATACTTCCAAACGGCTAGGCTTAATTTCATTTTCCTCCTTTTTAGCTACACTGTGCTTAAATTAATAATTTTATTCATCCTATCCCTTTGAATTTTCGGTAGACTTGGTAGAGAATTATTTTTAAATTTGTTATAATTTTTTTGGGAGTCATTTCCGAAAATTTAGAAAATTATATAAAGGCACCTATTTATGAAGATTTGGATTGCTTTTAGTTTCTGTTTTACAAAATTCAGCTATTGGTTTAAAATTTAAAGCGAATATATTTTTTGTTGTAAATTACCTCTTATATTTATAGTCATTTTAAAAAATGTTTCTTGTCATTATTCTGACCAATAATTTTAATATAAAAATTAGTTATTTAGGAATTCTCCTTTGGGTTGTCTTAATTATTTATAGGATTATATCACAAGTTGGCGTGATGAAAAAATTATAAATTTAAATTTTCATTGTAGCATACAAGAATAAAAATAAATTTTCTAATAAACAACAAAATTAAATAATTTTCTTATTTGAGGTTATATATACTATTAGAAATGTTGAGGAAATGGCTAAATGATATAAATAAGAAAAATGTAAATTATCTCCATAAAGCCAAAGAAGTAAACTATTGATTTCGACTTAAATGTTACAAGATGATTCCTTGCTGCATGGAAAAGTCCAAACAGATCGATCAATCTTTTAACGCTTTGGCCGCAATCCAAATTACCCATGTTCCTTGTTGGAGGCCAAATCGAACAAATATTGACAAATAATTCGAGATGCTCTGGATGACGGTTCATATATTACACCTCTTTTAGTTTCGACTGGCTTTAGCAATGCTTCTAAAACGTGGAAATCAATCAGGATGTCACTTCGAGACCCTTCTGAAATTGGAAACAGGTATTGTTACTTTAAAAGATTTAATTAAATATAAAATAATATTTCTTTCTGTATACTCTATTTCATATAAGTTCGAACTGGAGAAAAAAACATATTTTGCTTTTAATGAAATAATTAACTTGAAAATGGTTAGACTAATGGATAAGGTTTAATTCAGCCTTAACAACCTAAAAATAGAATAATTATTGAAGTAGACTGAAAAGTTACCAGTATTATCTACCGACATATAAATATACAAATGTTTACATTAGGACTCAAAATAAATATCATTAGGCGATGTAGCCACAATCAATTCACAAATTAAAACTATACTTGTTTTTATATACAGGTTGTTGAAAACTAAGCGCACAATGTAAGTCGATATTTTTGCAATTTAGGAGACATGCGCAGTTGTTGTTGGATTTCGTCAGAAGAGTTATTTGCGTTAATTTGTCTTGGTGTTTTTCGAAATCAACTATTTTAGTCCATTTAATAAAAAAGGTGTTAATTATAGAAAAATAATACATATTTGACAGCTTAAATACTAGATTTTATATTCAACTTACCTCCTATCTAATAAACAAAAAAAGTCAACGCACATAGTTTGATTTAAAGGTTTTAGGGTATTTTGACTTTAAATCATATATCTTATTGGAAAGTATTGCCTATTCTAAAATTAGCATGTTTTTTCCGCCAAAAAGTAAAAAAAAGTTAAGACAAACTTTAAAACAGTTTTGAATGACAAACTTTTCGAATGAAAAAATATTGTAGGTACAGATTAATAATTTAGACAATTATTTTACAGCTTTTATTCATCTACTTCTTATACATTAATTCTATTCGGCGGTCCTCTTTAGCAGCATATTTGTACTCATACGCGTATTTAATAAAACTCTTCGTTTATTAACTTATAAACTATAGTGTAACGATTTTTGTTTGAAGGTGACTGATCTATGGATTAGACCAGCCATACTCAACCTGCGGGCCATGGGCCGCATGCGGCCATCCAAGCTTTTTTTATGGCCCGCAACACTATTATTGGTCGCAGCGCTAAATAGCATGCTAATTTTAAATAAACGTTTGGAATTTTGTGGGGTTACTGCAAAAACAAGATAGCTCCACTCTTGGAATTTTCGAGTTAAGTAGGTAAGTACACTTTCTACAAGTGGGAAAGAAGTCTATATTCATGATAAACAGATAGACAATAAAAACTAACTCCATGTTAATACATTAACAATATGGACAAACAAGATGCAGTGGCATTATACCAAAACATAATCATAACATTGTGTTCAATTGATAAGTGTGTCTACCAAAACCAGATAATAGTCATATAATTTATTTTTGCTAAATATATTTAGTCCGATTCTTAACAGTGTTCCTGCCAAAACAAGATAAAGGCCAGAACCGAGTGGAAAGCAATAAGATCAAAACGTACCTGTATTTCGGAAATCACATAAACATTTTTTATGTAATTTAGGTGATTTCACTGAAAATCCACCTTAATTTTATACGATGATCTTTTTTTCTCGCCATTTCCGGTTGTGAGCGACCAATTGATTTTGACCATGATTTTAGATGACGATTTTGGAATTTTCGAGAAAATGTGTAGTGATTTCGAGTGAAAACGTACCAGTATTTCGGAAGTGGTTTGCCGCTACCTATTTTTGTTGAATGTGTTTGTTGAAATATTAAAACATTGTGCCCACGCTATTTGTTTTGTTATGACTAGAGCCGTCTCTGGCCTTTCTCGATTGTTCCGAAATCCACGAGATGATTACGTCACCCTTTCTTTCCGGGATACAGCTAACCTTAAACAACCACTAGATAATAACACGTGGTGTTTGAATCTCCGTTGTGAATGAGTGATTGGTCAAGATGTAACAGGTTATTGGTCAAGCTGCAACGAGTGATTCGTTAAGCCGTAACGATGAGCGAATCTTTACGTGAAAATTCGTAAATAAAAGTATTAGTGGTAATAGGCAAATTTGAATTTTAACCATATTTTCTAATAGACAACGTATCGAAAGATTCAGCTATCCTAAATACATTCCACCAGAAAAATAGATTTAATTTATCAATGGTCGAGGGTGGAATTCGGCTTTATATGCAAAACTCGCA